CCATTTTTAATACGATATTACGATGCGTGAATTTCGAATTTGAGTAATCACTTTTCATATATATATATATAAACATTTACGTTTATATACAAATTATCATATTTGCCACCAACTTGACTGGATCATGGTGTATGACAAGACATTAACAAAATTTTAGTCATATTTTTGGTGAATTTTTGTTCTTATTTAGGTAACTATTTTCCTAGTTTTAGGCTATTATTTTCATGTTTTAGGCTACTAAAAGCAACTATTTTGTTAATTTTTATCTGTGGTGACCCTGTATTCCAAATCAAATATAATAGTAATAAATCAGTTCAAATATAATCAATAATAATACTTTAAATGCCACAACTGTTCCTATGCATGTCTCTTACCATATTTGGTTGCAGACATTACTTGTTACAAGATTGAAATTTCAAAGACATTGTTTCTTTTTAGTACAAAATATAATCAGAAAATAGAATTCAGATTCTTATTTGCTCTCAAAAATTATCTTTATCTGAACTATTTTCAACATCATTTGCAATCATTAGAATGCTATTTTTATATACTCATTTGAATGTTTTTTAATAAATTTTTAAAAACACGTTAGTTTTTGTGAATCGTATTCTAAAAATATTATAAATTTTCGAAACCTATTGCCTATCTTTATGAAATATCACAATTATAAATGTTAACTGCTATTAAGCTCCGTGTTCCCCATCTCTGAAAAGAATTAAGTAATCTTATACAAAAAGATGTTTAGAAAGGCAACAGTACGTAAAAAAAGAGAGAGATTATCTCTCTTAACACAATAAAAAGGCAAAAGGGATATCTTTCAGATAATGTTAAGAAACCTTCATAAAATATTAGTTAAGAAAAATGTTACTCTGTTTCGTGCTGTGTGTTTACTAGACTTAGTCCATTTTATGCATGTGTTCCAACAAGCAGTGGGCGAAATGCATATTGCATACAAATTTTACGATTACATACAAATTTTAATTAAACCAGCGATAAAACAAAAATGGCAATGTTGGTCAAATAAATTATATGAGCAACTATTACTGCGAAAAGGAAAGAGTTAATATTCATGTTATGCCAAAAGAAATAATGAAGACCAGCATTTCTGAACTGATAAAAAAAATTCAGCGCTAATCTGAGCAAATTCAAAAAAACATATTTTCAATATTTTACAACAGTATATCATGCATAGTACTAAAATTGAGAAAACCTTAACACAGCAGAATAAAGCGATGATTCACGTTGACTTTTCAGAATATTATGTTCGCAAACTTGCCACAGAAATTCAAATATATCATTTTAGTGATTCAAGAAAGCAAGCAAGTTTATTTACTAGAATTTAAAAAAAGTAGAAAAAAAAGCCATTTTTTTTCTTCCCTACACAATTTCACAGTGCTAAGACGATCATGAGACAGCTGCAATTTGGGCTGAACTTAATCAATACTAGATCAATTTAAGAAAATTCCACCGATAGTTGACCTTTTTAGATAGTCCCTCAATCGTTCCCCTATCGTCGGAATTTTCCCCCTCTTTTAGATAAGCTCATAGCCGGGAACAATATTAAATATGAATCATGGTCATTTTATGAGACTGGTCAAGCACGATTAAGGATGTAGCTGCTGTTAAAAGGACGCCATACAGCGGAAGAAAATTTTCTTCGCAAATTCTCTTTCCTTCATTGCTAATTTAAAGTGTAGAATA